TTCAGCTCAATTGGTGCCATTCTATATGGTGCCATTGAAATTGGTGTTGTGCCAGGTACCAATTCAATGTCAAACTCTACTTCACTTTCTGGTGGAAGGCCGGGAAGTTCTTCGGGGAATGCATCAGGAAACTCCCTTACCACCTCTACATCCTCAACCTTCTTATCATTTACAACAGTAACTTGAGCAAGAAAGGCTTCACAACCTTCCTTCACTAATCGAAAAGCTTCCAAGGCAGAAAGAACACCATGAGTCTCCTTTTTCTTAATGCCTCGGAATACAACAGGACCTTTATCTGGTGTGTTAAATAACACTTCTTTCTTTTGACAATCCACAACAGCTCCATGTGTTGCCAGAAAGTCCATTCCAAGGATGACATCAAATTCATCAAAAGGTAGCAGAATTAAATCTGCTGCTAGGAAAGCTCCTTCCACACAAATGAAGGAACTTCTAATAACTGAGTCTACCTTCAAGGTATCTCCCACAGGTGTTTTAACACATAAGGTATAACCTAGCTTATCTGGAACTAAGCGTAGCATATGTGCAAACGTATATGACATGAATGAGTGAGAGGAACCAGTATCGATCAAAGCATATAATTGCTTGCCAAGGATAGAGAGCATACCAGTCACAACTTCTGGTGCCACTTCTGCCTCACCTCGAGTCATTGCATAAACCCTCGGTGCTCCCTGTGCTCTGGTACCCTGCGTACCACTTCCTGATGGTTGATTTCGACCACCACCTCTACCACCCTGTGAACCACCACGACCACTCTGAAATCCACTACGGCCTCCCTGGTAACCACCCCTGAATGGGGCTCTACTAAATTGCACTGAAGGCTCGGACTGTGTAGCTCTTACTTCTCTCGAATGCGGACAGTCCCTCATGATGTGCCCAGGTTGGCCACAGTGAAAGCATACACCAGAAAATCTCCTACACTCTCCAAGATGCCTCTTCTGACAAACTTGACAAAATGGAAATTGTGTGGCTGAGGAAATTGGTGCCTTCAGGAACTCCTCCCAGGTGAACTGAACTCGTTCACCATTAACTCTAGAGACTGAGGACCACCAGCTCCTCGCATACCCCTTTAGGAGAAAAACAACATATTGAACTTTTTCCTCTGGGGTTGCATAAAGATATTCAAACACATCTTCCATCTCCCTCAACCACTCTACCACAGCATCCGGACTCACATCTCCTTTAAAGTCCCTACCACCCAAACTCTTCATCTTTGCATAATCTAATACTGGCGGTCTTGCATCAACCGCCCCCACTCCTCTCGACTGGTCAGTAGGAACATTTTCACAACTTCCGTGCGAGCCACAAGGAAATATTGGCCTTAGATTGATCCACACAAAATTCATTCTTCACCAAATCTCTCACTTGGTTAAAACAAAAATTTTCCCAAAATAATTACTTGAAAACAAATAAGTTCAAAACTCAATTTTGAACACCATGATGCAGGTAATTTCATCCAATATACCAATACACATAATCATGTCAAACTCAATTCCCAGTTTAAGTCATTATGGGGTACTCCCCTCCTTAGGAGTGTTTAACATCCCATAGGGTATAGTACACCATAACAGCAAAAAGAGGGAAACCGGGCTCTGATACCAAACTGTAACACCCTACCCTATACGTTTTGCCTAATCATATTGTTCATACAATTGCAGCGGAATTAATCTCGGGTGTTACATTAATTATCAAAATTTACCTAAATAAAATTTCGACATGAATTACTCGCGTAATAGTTCTTGCAACTTATCCTGCAAAATAAATCATCACAAACATATATACTCACAACCATAAGCATTGGCTTCCATAGTCATAGTCACAGTTTCATACTACACAACTGCATACTATACTGATACAAGCCACAATCGTCACAACTTACATAATTACAAAAATATACACATATCATCAACTTTCCACACCTGTGGATATCTCACACTACATCAGAAGCTAGTATGCACATGAAAAACGTTCTCAAAACATTTTTACAAAAAGGTGTGGATCACTGGCCAAAATCCCGAGTAGTAGTCCAAGCACAGAATGGTTGAAGACCATACCTCATCTTGCCTTCAACTCTTGCTCAGCTCCCACCTATACACCTATCTACTGCTGCTGATGATCTGCTTACACACGGCATAAGCAGAGAAGAAGAATAAAAGAGGGTCAGCTCATAGCTGAGTGAGATAATCATAGCATCGTGAGTTCATAACAGAGCATACCCCTATCATACATCTAACAGTCAAGCCAAAACACTAGGATCGGACCTCAGCCATCCTCATATCCCAATAGGCAAAAGACTCAACCACCTTGACTTATGCATATGCATCTTATCATGTTTTACTTATAGGCGCCTGGCTACTCCCATGCTAATAACTCTCCCGGGAAACATACCCCACATCCCGTCGGATGTAGTCATACATACCCCAACATCCCGTCGGATGTGGTCATGCATACCCCACACCACTATGGGTGTAGTCATACCCCGACACCACTCTGGGTGTGGTCATATCTCGTAAGAATTCTTCAGTCACCACCACATGAGAGGTGTGACTATCATATCATAATAGAGTAATAGCATAGGGAGCCCTAATTACTATGTAGTTGACCGTGAGACCACCACACTCATATTTGGTATCCTTATACATGATTCATATCTCATCTTGCTTAATCATAATTCATTACTTGCACATGTACTTGACCTGGCCATAATTGGCTCAACATAGGTAAACCAGGAGTCGTATAGTTGCACTTCCTCGGGATAAACCCTCGTGCAAGTCATCCTCCTTAAAACATCATGATATCACCAGGGAATATATATTTTCCCACTTGTGCATCCAAATACAAAAATCATGAAAAATCATATCCAATCACCTTCTCGAACCATCATAAGGCATACTCACAATTAAACCCACATCTGGCAACATATATGGAATTATCAACATAAACAAGGTCCATATCGATTAGGACAAGTCAATAATATCATACAGAAGCCTATAGTTCATCATATAGCAGAGAAGTCCATACACCCATAATTATGCCATTCTAATTCACCTAGGTCAATTCTAAGCATCAATATAATTATCGTGATACGACACACCCGGTATGCCGTGCTAATCCCTCACCAGTTCTGGTCGTTCAAACACCGGTTCTAGCCTCCCGTACTAAAACATCAATTTCACGAACGAACCCCGAATTAAATTCCGAGACCGTCCTAATATCCCCTGCAGTATCCCCGTCAATATTAGTTCTAGGCTTCGGGTCAAATTCTCGATAAAAACACATCAAACCCTGGCCGGAGCTAAATTCAGCGGTTTGGACCCTGGCCTAAATAATAGCCGAAAATCAGGAATTAGAACTAGGGGATTGATTACCTCGCTGCAAGAAGCTCGTATATGAAATTTGGGCTCAATCCGGCTTCCGGATACTCCGAAACCCTAATTTGGCTTAAGGGGAATTCAAGAAATTCCTGAACCAAAAACTCGTTTTAAAACTCTAAATCGATAAATCACGATGAATAGATGAATTAGGCATTACTTACGGGATTTTTGGATCACTAGAGCTCAAGATTTGAGCTTTTGAAATCTTGGCCAAACGCTCTGTTCCTCTCTGTTTCTCTCGGCTCAGAGTGGAAGAAGAAAAGATGATGATAATGGAAAGAATGGCCACGGTGAGTATTTATAGCCGGCCGCTCAAATATATATAATTAATACGTATACTTATCCGATCGATCGATAATCCGATTTTCGTCGAAATAGTGCCAAAATGCTCGATTTTAAATCGCGAACTTTCTAGCGATCGAAATATGGGTTTTGCCGGAATGGGATGTTACAATTATTTCTAGTCTAGGGTTGCAAACCTTTATACGTAATCGTCAATACAATCGTTCATTTATTATGGTCGAATCTAAATTCAAACGTCGGGTGTTACATTTCCTCTACCCTTACAAAAATTTTGTCCCCAAAATTGAAACTGCAGGATATAAAACTATGTGTTTGAAGAAATTGTATTAGTTGGAATATAACAGTTTACTAAAATTCAATTTAATCATTTAACTTCCATACTTCAAGATTCTCTAACTCGAAAGTTCAAATAAGATAAATTAAAATCTTCGAGCTTATAAATGTGCACACACATTTATTGTGCAGTTATAATAATGAATACTATAGTAATTGAAAAGAATTATGAGTTTTTTGCTAGTCAGTTATTATTTATTGTGAACATATCGTTACATAAATTTTTAGTTTATAGCATATGTTTTGATTTTTTAATTATTTTAAAATAAACTCTGTGTGCCTATGAGGCTATGATAAAGGAATAGTTTTTATTTACCTTTTTTAGGGTAAATTGCAAGGTTGGTCACTGGGTTTACTAAAAAGGTTCATGTTTGGTTACTAAAAATATTTAATTTCATTCGTGGTCACTAAGATTACTTAAATGTTTCAAATTTGGTCACTCTCCGTCCAACTCCGTTAACTTCGTCTGATGTGGCAGTCAACTTTTAAAGTTGACCGTTAACTTAGTGACTAGTGACGTGGCAATAAAAAAATAAAAAAGTTTATTCGTTTACAATTTCTAACTATTTTCAGATTAAATTAAAATAAATAAAACAGAAAAAATATTATTATAATTACCAACGCATCACACTCCGCCGCCTCACTTTCCATCTCCTTGACCGCCGATATCTTAAACTTCCCGTCGAGAAGCTCCGCCTGTTGTGATCCCTAGGGACATGGTTTATTATTATAGGGATCACTTTGTAATTTGTCATTTTATTTTTCCTCCCAATTCCAGCTGAACGTGTAGAGGAGTAGGGTTCTGTTCTCTTGTGTACAAATAGGGTACTAGCTGCTGCGGCTAACCCTAAGAACCAGAAAACAAAAATAAGAAATCTCTGAGAGCTTGAAGCTCTCCGTGGACTAGTCTCGCTCATGTTGAGCGGGGAAACCACGTAAATCTTGGTCTCGTGTTTTTATTCTTTCCGCATTCGTCGTATTTTACATGTGATCCCTAGGGATATGGTTTATTATTATAGGGATCACTTTGTAATTTGTCATTTTATTTTTCCTCCCAACTCCAGCTGAACATGTAGAGGAGTAGGGTTCTGTTCTCTTGTGTACAAATAGGGTACTAGCTGCTGCGGCTAACCCTAAGAACCAGAAAACAAAAATAAGAAATTTCTGAGAGCTTGAAGCTCTCCGTGGACTAGTCTCGCTCATGTTGAGCGGGGAAACCACGTAAATCTTGGTCTCGTGTTTTTATTCTTTCCGCATTCGTCGTATTTTACATGGTATCAGAGCTGTGAGTAGATCCACAGCGGTTAATCATGAGCTCAGACGATGAAGCCAGCAAGTCTACCCAGACCGGTAAGAGCCCTCAATCATCGACGGCTGCGGGACTTAATTCGCAGGTTATGATGCCGTCGCACCTTCTCCTTCACCCATCGGACAACCCGAGTAACCTCTTTGTCGGTGAGCTGCTTTCTGATGCTAATTACGGAGAATGGGTCGTGGATATTACCGACTCGCTCATCGCCAAGAACAAGATATGTTTCGTGGATGGGACCTTACCTCCTGCCAATTCTCCGGCCGAAAAGGAGGCTCTTCTTCGTTGCAACGCCATGGTAAAGGGGTGGCTGAAGACATCGATGACCAAAGAGGTTCGGAGTAGCGTCCGTTTTGCGTCAACTGCGCGTGAAATTTGGATTGATCTCCAATCCCGATTTGGCCAAGGCAGCGCCGCCAGGCTCTATGAGCTCAAGAGCATGATCGTTCGTCTGCGGCAAGAGAAGGCTTCGGTCTCTTCTTTCTACACCAAGTTGAGGGGTTTGTGGGATGAGATACAGACCCTCACTCCCTCGGTGTCTTGCACTTGTTCAGGTTGTACCTGTGATGGCCAGCGGCGACAAAGAGACGTTCGCGACGGCGAGCAATTGTTTGATTTCTTGATGGGCTTAGATGATGTGTTCTCTACCGTCAAATCCCAAATATTGGCCATGCGGCCAACTCCCACCTTAGCTGAAGCATATCAGCTCGTTTCCCATGATGAGCAGCAACGTATGATCTCGTCCAATAGGCGTCCGCGTCCCGAGGCTACCGTTTTCCAAGCTCATGGCGAAAAGAAGTTGGATCGGCCTTCCCTGCTTGCTGAATCCGACCGTGACAAGGATCGGGATGCTGACGGGAAGCCCAAGTGCACTCATTGCAAGCGTACATGCCATTTTTGGGAGACTTGTTACCGGCTGATCGGATTTCCTCCCAAGAATAGTGACAAGGGAGAGTCAACTCGCCGGCGTGCTGATCGGGGAGCTCGTTCCTCGCCCCAGGCTGCTCAAGTTGATGCCGCCGACAGCCCCTTGCCTGGCCTTTCAGCTCGTCAATTTGATCAACTCAAGGCTCTCCTCGCTGGTGACCTATTACACCATTCTCAAGGCTCGGCCGAACCATCATCCAACATGGCAGGTACGTATTCTCTTAATTCTGCATCTTGGGTTATCGATTCGGGTTGTAACGAACACATTGTTAACCATGCCTCTTTATTGGATTCGGAGTTGGACTCGAATCCGGCTCTTCAGGTCAAAATACCCAATGGTACAGGTGTCTCTGTTCGCAGTATTGGGACGGCTAAATTGTCTGATGATCTATTATTGCGTCGTGTGCTTCACGTTCCTGATTTTCAATGCAACTTATTATCGGTCAGTCGGTTGACAGCTGATTTGCCGGTTGCGTTAATCTTTATGGGTGACTTATGTGTGATTCAGGACCTACCGTCCAAGAGGCTGATTGGGATGGGTAAGCACGTCGATGTGATTCACGTTCCTGAGATTGTTCGCACCCGAGCACCCGATTGCACACACAGTTCGTCGATCTCTGGATAGCACTGATTTGTGGCACTCTCGTCTAGGCCATCCGTCCGCTGCTAAACTGCATGCTTTGGAGACTTTACTACATTGTTCTTTCGTTCATAATAAAGAGCCCTGTCGATCTTGTTTACGGGACAAGCAAACTCGCAATTCTTTTGAGACTAGCACCATTAAGACTAAGTCGATTTTTGAGCTTATCCACATTGATATTTGGGGGAGTTATAAGACGGCATCTATTTCAGGAGCACATTATTTTTTAACAATTGTGGACGATTTTAGTCGTGCTGTGTGGGTCTTCTTGTTATGTTTTAAATCGGATGTCGCTCGACACTTAATCTATTTTTGCAACATGGTGCGGACGCAGTTTGGTGCTCAGGTGCGGCGAATCCAGGCTGATAATGGCGCTGAATTTTCTTGTCATGAACTCACCTCTTATTATGAACAGGAAGGCATCGTTCTACAAACTTCCTGTACAGACACTCCTCAGCAGAACGGCGTGGTCGAGCGCAAACATCGCCACTTATTAGATACAGCGCGTGCACTACGGTTTCATGCGAATCTGCCGATTAAATTTTGGGGTGAGTGTGTCTTAACAGCAGCGTACCTCATAAATCGTCTTCCACTCGTCTCCATTGAGAATCAGTCTCCTTTTCAAGTATTATTTGGGAAAGAACCGGCTTATGATCATCTTCGCAGCTTTGGGTGTCTGGTTTATGCTCGAGATAATCATCATGGCCTTCATAAATTTGGTGCTCGTGGTCGAGCGGGTATATTTTTGGGGTATCCGGCTACACAGCGGGGTTATCGTGTTTATGACCTTGAGACTAAACATGTGTATACTTCGCGTGACGTGAAGTTTCTTGAGCGTGTTTATCCCTATCGGGATCTTGCTGAAAATGATCTCACTCCTGTTACTGCTTCTATTCCAGCGCCTTCTTCACTTGCAGATCCTATTGAGATTGAGGATGATCAACTTGAATTGGGGGATTTTTCTTGTTCACTAGAGCAGCCCACGTCCCCAGCTGCCTCCCTTCCCCATGCAACGTCGCCACATGCAGGGGCTTCCCCCTCATCTCCACGTGCTGCACCTGCTGCGGAGTCTCTCCCGCCTCACTCTCCCTCGACCAGCTCCCCATTACCCTTCACCAGTCCCGATGCTGCGGCCCTCACTCCTGCCGCTGCCCCTCCAGTACTTCGTCGCGGTGATCGGGTAAGAATGCCTTCTGTTCGCTTGCGTGACTATGAGACTCAGCTGCCTGGCGCTGCACACACTGCCGTTGTTTGATTCCCTCTCGAATATTATGTCTCTTATCACCGTTTATCCACCGCGCATCATGCTTTCGTTGCTGCTGTTAGTGCTACCTATGAGCCTACCTACTTTCATCAGGCTGTGCGCTTCAAACATTGGCGCGATGTAATGGTGCGCGAGTTCCTTGCTTTGGTTGATAATGGGACTTGGTCTATTGTTCCCTTGCCTCCTGGGAAGAAATGCATTGCTTGCAAATGGGTGTTTAAGGTGAAGTTTTTCCCAGATGGTTCTGTTGAGCGTTATAAGGCTCGCTTGGTTGCTAAAGGATTTACACAGGTGGAGGGAGTGGATTTTCATGACACCTTTGCTCCTGTTGCCAAATTAGTCACTGTTCGTTGCTTGTTGGCAGTAGCAGTAACTCGTGGCTGGCATATTCACCAGCTTGATGTCAATAATGCTTTCCTGCACGGTGATCTCGAGGAAGAAGTGTATATGGCCATTCCGCAAGGGTTTGCTCGCCCTGGCGAAACAAGAGTTTGCCGCCTCCATAAATCCATTTATGGTCTTCGTCAGGCATCTCGAAATTGGTATCAGAAGTTCACTCAGGCACTTCTTGAGCTTGGTTTTACCCCCAGCCGCGCCGATCATGCTTTGTTCACCTATCGCCGAGGCACTACTTTTGTTACAGCTCTTATCTATGTTGACGACGTGATTCTTGCTGGTACCGATTTGGAGTTTATCACTCGGGTGAAGGCTTTTCTTCACGATCGTTTTACCATCAAGGACCTTGGTCCTCTTAAGTATTTTTTGGGCATTGAGGTTGCGCGTTCTCCTCGGGGCTTTGTTCTCAACCAGCGCAAGTATGTTTTGGACATTTTGGCTGATACTGGTTTGACGGCTGTTAAGCCTTGCTCTACTCCGATCGAACAGCAACATCAGTTGGGTCGGTCACCTTCCCCCCCGGCGGCTGATCCTGGTGCCTATCGTCGTCTCGTAGGCCGTTTGTTGTATCTCACGGTCACTCGTCCGGATATCACATATGCGGTTAATCTCCTCAGCCAGGCCATGCAGTCGCCTACTCAAGCTCATGAGCTTGCTGCCATTCGTGTTCTCCGCTATTTGAAGTCTTCACCGGGTCGCGGTCTCTTTTTCTCCACTGCCTCTCCTCTTACCCTTACGGCTTATTGTGATGCTGATTGGGGTGGTTGTCCGCTTACTCGCTGCTCCACCACTGGTTACTTCATCATGCTTGGCACTTCACCTGTTTCCTGGCGAACAAAGAAACAGACTGTTGTTGCCCGGTCTTCTGCTGAAGCTGAATACCGTGCCATGGCTAGCACGGTTAGTGAGGTGCTGTGGCTCCGATGGTTGCTCCGGGACTTGGGGGTCTCCTTGCCTGGCCCTACTACGTTGTTCTGTGACAACCAGGCGGCTCTACATATTGCTGCTAATCCTGTCTTTCATGAGCGGACTAAGCACGTTGAGATGGATTGTCATTTTGTTCGCGAACGCGTTCAGTCTCGTGAAATCGCGCCCGCGAAGATTCCCACCGCTGATCAGCCTGCAGATTTGTTTACTAAGGGCTTAAGCGTGGATCAGTTTCATCATCTCTTCGTCAAGCTCGGTCTTCTTGACATTCACTCCTTCGCTTGAGGGGGCGTGTTGTGATCCCTAGGGACATGGTTTATTATTATAGGGATCACTTTGTAATTTGTCATTTTATTTTTCCTCCCAACTCCAGCTGAACGTGTAGAGGAGTAGGGTTCTGTTCTCTTGTGTACAAATAGGGTACTAGCTGCTGCGGCTAACCCTAAGAACCAGAAAACAAAAATAAGAAATCTCTGAGAGCTTGAAGCTCTCCGTGGACTAGTCTCGCTCATGTTGAGCGGGGAAACCACGTAAATCTTGGTCTCGTGTTTTTATTCTTTCCGCATTCGTCGTATTTTACACCGCCAGCCACCGGCTTCTCATCTCCAAAGTGAACAGGTTCGTGATGCTCTCTGAGTACCCCATCACTGTCAGCTGCGGAATCCTCATCTCTGTAGAGCGGAACGACGTTGTCCGAACTCCCCACGACATTTTCCCCGAAATATTTCAATCGGAAGATGTTCTACAGCTTCTTCTCGCCGACGAAACCCTTCGCCAGTATCACTATCACCACGTTGGCATGCAACGACGTCCCATCCCCACCCATATCCGGGTCGACTTTTTGGGCTCCCAGATCTCCAAGACCCACTTCCCGCTCCGGGCCCAGATCCCCCTGTACGTCGGGTGCTTCCCCGAAGAAGAGGAGTTGGGAGAGCAAGGCGTGGTTGTTGTGGTTGAGGCGGTAGTAACCGCTGACAGTAGCTGGGAAGGCCGGCCTGGAGCGACAGTCGGGTTTTGTGTCGTAATTGGAGCTGTTATGAAAGTGAAGGTAGGAGTTGTAGTTGTAGCAGTAGTAGGAGTATGAGGGTTAGGGATTTTCTGCAAGGGATCCTGCATAATTAAGCCAATTGGAATTTGGACAGGGGAAACCTTACCTTATAATATAATACTCTGTTTTTGCTCTGTTTCTTTTCATGAAAACAGAGATGAACAATCTCCAAGTTCGTTGAGTGCGATATCATGCACATTCATCGATTGGCGAAACACGGATGGTTTCAACTTTCAAATCATAGTTTTCCCACGGCGGTCAGTACCTGTACGGTATCGACCATTCAAGAGAAATTCTACCAGCTTGTTCACCTCGGAGATGAGGAGCTGGTGGCTGGCGGAGCTTCTCAACGGGAAATTTAAGCTGTCGGCGGTTAAGGAGACGGAAAGTGTGCGTTGGTAATTATAATATTTTTTTATTTTACTTTAATCTGAAAATGAGTTGGAAATGGTAAAAAAATAAAATTTAATTAATTTACTATTTTTTAATTGCCACGTCATTAAGTTAATGGTCAATTTTGAGAGTTGACTGCCACATCAGACAAAGTTAACGGTATTGGACGGAAGGTGACCAAATTTGAAACATTTAAGTAATCTTAGTGACCACGAATGAAATTAAATATTTTTGATGACCAAACGTGAACCTTTTTAGTAAACTCAGTGACCAACCTTGCAATTTACTTTTTTTATGGATACTATGTAAAATAGCTTGGCCTCCAATCTCTGGCTCTCGCTCATGACCTGTTAATTAGAATGCATTAGTGATATTCATTGTTCTCAGGTGTTCTTGTCTTCATGAGGCATCCTCTTTAATTAGTTGTTTTCATAAATTTAGTTAAAGGCTTAAACCCCATTTTAATTTTAGTAGATCACAACATTAACCTACCATTCCATGAAATAATCGATCAAAAGCTTTACTTAAATAAAAAAGCATGTTTTATTTATTTATTTATAACTTCACTTAGTTACCGTTAATGTACGGTAACTGCCGAAGTTTCCATATTCCTTGTCGGTGACGGAAAAGGAAAATGGGTCGTCCTTAACCTCGTAGGAAATGGTCAACAGTCAGTCCACCGGAGAAGCCTTATATATCAGTATCACGCAATGACAAAGTCTCTCAAGCTTCGTCTCTAGCCCTAATCACCTCAAAGTCGGCCGAAAATCAGCAGCTCCACTTTGCGAGTTGCAGCCTTTCCTTTCCCCGCGGAAAGTTCGATCATGGCCATCGGCGACGACATTGAGAGCAACGCTTCTTCCGATCTAGGGTTTCTGCGAGTGAGACCCGGCTAAGGGAAACAAGGGATTTACTCCGCCGCCACCGACGGCGCCGCGAGAATGAGGATCTCGGGAACAGCGACCGGGGTCCGATTCGAGCCTGAAGACGATCAAATCATCACTTATCTCCTCGATAAGGTAATGGGCAATGCTTTGCCCTCTAATCCGGTGATCGATTGTGACCTATACGGTGAAGATGAGGCTTGGAAGAAGCTGTTCGTTGAAACAGGGGAGTCGGAGTTGTATTTCTTCACCAGATTGAGGAAGGCGAAGACGAAGAAGGGGGAATTGGGCTGCGGCGGCGGCGGTGGCGGCGGTAGAGCTGAGAGGACCGTTGGCTCGAAGGCCACGTGGCGGTCAAGCAAGGACGACCCTATTTTTCTCCCCGGCCAGAACGTCCAGATCGGGTCGAAGCGGACTTTTACTTACCGTCTCAACCAGAGATCGGCGGCTGCCGGCGAGGAGGTAGCGGCGAGGAAGAAGGACGCTGGGGATGGGTTCTCAATGACGGAGTACCGCCTGGACGGCGTACTCAACTGCGTCGCCACGGATCTTGTGATGTGCTCGGTGAGAAGGAAAGAAAGCAGAGCATCCTCTGAGATGGAGATCATCGACGCCGGGGTTCCACCGGCGATGGCGACGCCGACTTCGACGGGTTGGCGTTTGCGGCCTTGTGGGTCGACCATGATTCAGCCGGTGATGGGAGGAATGGCGTTTTTGTGCTAGTGATGGTTCGAGATTTGCCTTCTGTTGATACCTCTCAGTATCAGTTGGGACAGAGGCAGAGAGTGACATCCATGGCTTACCGGATTAAAGATTATTTCAGTAGAAAGCAAGTAGTCTGCAAATTCTTAGCCTTTGTTAGTCATTATTCAGATTCTTTGGGTTCATTGTGTTTGATGTCAGATTATAATCAAACAATGTCATTTATGTAACAGTTAGTTCATAATCAAATTGCAGTAGAATGTAATTAAGTTAGTGATTCTTAATGTCTGCAAATTCTCAAGTTCCACTCATTTATGAAACAGTTCTTGATCTCTACAAAAAATAACTAGCTCTTTCCATTTTGCACTTATGTGATAGTTCATGATAAAACCACACTGGAGTGCAACTGTGCAAGTTAATTACTCTTAATGTCTGCACTTACTCATTTATTTAACAGTTCTTGATCTCTACAAAAATTTAACTAGCTCTTGCCTCAGGCCTTTCCAGTTTTACACTATACTATACATACAAAATTGCCCTTATTCATTTCCATGATGATAATTTAACACACTACAAAAACTACATCTGATAGCCAACACCACAAGAATAGGGCACAGTGCTTTCTTTGCTGACATATACGAGGAAAGAAGCAATAGTCGACCCTTTTCATGGCTAGGTAAACTAATTTCCAAAGCACGAGCACACCATTGGAAGAACTCTGAACCTAATTGAAGCTAGATGAACGACTCCACCTGCCCTTCAAGTAATCCTCCCAAGAGATACAGCTTCCTTGTTCTGAATTACTGAAGGATGTAGAATCAGTATCCATATCAAGGAATGCCAGGTTGAGATGAATGTGTGGGGTGGAGCTTGGGTAGACTTCGTCATCATAACTATCGTCCTCGTTTTCAGTAACATCCTCTTGACCTTGGTTCACAATCGACCATTTCAATGAGAACTCTGTTTCATCTCTGAGTAGACTAAGTACCTCGCTCATTTTAGGACGAAGCCGGACTGCTCTTGTCACGCAGAGGTTTGCTGCTTTAATCATTCGCTGCAACTGAACCTCGTTGACTAACTCCCAATCAAGATTTTGATCCAAGAGGTCTCTCAAATTCCCACTCTCTATAATCGGCTTTGCCTGAAGTCAAAAAGGGATTCAGACATTCAGTTTATTACTTACTACTTGTACGGCAACTAGTAACAAAAAAAGAACAGCATCTTGAAATTAGATGGACAGTGAGGTGAAAATGGCTATCCTACCCAGGTGACCAAGCTCTGCTGAGCCTTGGAATTCTCTGAAGAGATGATGATTGGTTCTCTGCCTGAGATCAATTCAAGAAGCACCACACCAAAAGCATACACATCAATCTTGTCACTGACTTTCCCATACATGAAATACTCCGGGGCAAGGTACCCAAATGTTCCAACGACATCTGCTTGAGTCACAAAGGATGAAGCTGTGGGTCCCCACATAGCCAGGCCAAAATCTGATAGCTGAGCGAGCACAAAAGAAAACATAAACTTTTGGTCAATATAAGGTGAAAGAGTTTCATGTTTTAATTACTTGTTGATTGATTTACCTGAGGTTCCAGTCCATCTGAGAGGAGAATGTTTGCAGACTTGACATCCATATGAATTACAGGCCTTGGAGCTTCAATGTGAAGGTAGTTCAATGCTTCTGCTACTTTGACAGCTATATGAAACCTCGAGTCCCATGACAGTAAAGATTTGTCCTTGTTTTTACTGTGGATGTTCTCTGCTAAGCTTCCCTTTGGTAAGAAGTGATATACAGAAATGAGATCAGAGTCCTTGATGCTGATCCCAACAAGAGGCGTGATGTTCTTGTGGTTCAGTGATGCGATAATCTCAACTTCCTGAACAAATTCCTCCCTTGCCTCTGGTGACGACTTTCGGATCTTCACTGCAACTGGCTTACCATCTTGGAGAGTCCCCTTGTAGACCTGGTTGCATCCGCCTTTCCCAATCAAATTTGCTGCAAGATTTGACAGATCACAGTAAAGAACATGAAATACCAAATGGCAAACTGTAATTTCAAAGAATGTCGTTTAAGGCGAAGAAAACCTGAATGAAACTTGCAAGTGGCAGCCTTCAAAAGCTCATAGCTTAACCATTTGCAACCGCAAGATGAACCTTCCTTCACCAGAACCTCCAACCTCTTTCCAATCTCACCTAGCTCAGAAAAACTAACCTCAGTGGCTTCACACTTCTTCTCTTCTGATAAACTCTCGAGTCTCGAATTCACCAACGGGGATCGATTTGGTAAGCTCATTGCCCACCTCACCACAGACAGTTCCCTAGCTCGCAATATCTCAGGATCAGCAGAAGTTGCTCTTCTGAGAAGAGGCCAGCCAGGCTTCTGCTCAAGAATATCTCCTTCAGCCAAACATGACATTGATCTCCTTCTCTTAACTAGAGCAGAAATCTCATCCTTTGAGTCCCCTCCTCCATTCGCGTCTCCTGATGACCGCATCTCAAAGCTCGATCTCATGCTGCCTAACTCCGAGTCACCAAATTCAGATGGGGCTTCTCTAACCAAAGGGCTTGACATCTGACTCAAACTTGGTTTAAGATCTCCACTGTTTCTTCCCTCTGGCACAACCATCAACCTGCTCTATTAGTCATAACAGCTTATCTGTGGAAATTGAAAGAATACTTTTTTTTAACAAGTAACAAACCTGGTAGCTGAAAATTGTTCAACCTTCTGAAAACTACTCTGCCGTTGTGGATGGCCAAAACATCAGTAGTTGGTGGCAACCTCTTGATGCAATATCTAGCCGTGGCATTCCAACCCCTGAAAGTTGACATAGCCAGATGTAAAGGCCAATAATCGGAATGTATGAAGGTGATTTATTTGTTGCATACCAGATAGATTTTGGGTTGCTGATGCCCAAAATTAGAGCAGCAGCAGAATGGTTCTTGGCCTCTCTAACCAAAGTCCTCCGAACCGAATTCCCTGTAGAGATTCTACCTGTGAGATCCACCTGAAACCCAAAACAATCATATTTCCTTGTTTTTTCTCTTTGAAGCAAACCATCAAATACTTGTGATCAAATTTACCTTCTTCACAGAGCACAAGCTATCATAAGTTTCCAAATAGCTATCCAGCAATGGCTTCCCTCTAGGAGCACTTCCTGCAAAAAAAAAAAAAAAAAAAAAAAAAACCCAACAACAACCATAAACAAAAATAGTCAGCAACTCCTCAAGAACCCAAATGAAACAATTTGTCGAAAATCAGCTTTACCAGAGCTTCGAGAGACGTGAACAGCCACAATACAATCTCCAGGCTCAGCGACCTTAAAAACAGCCCAGCCAAGGAGCTCTCTGCTGTTACTGTCAAAATTCATCCCAACCAACACATTCCTCTTCTGGGTACTCTCAATTGGCATTTTCACCCCAAAAAAATTTCCCCTTTGCCACCAACCGATAATTACTTCCCCTCTCTTTCCCCCCCTAACTTAACCGTATCATCACCATTAAAGCATCAAAAGTGTTGCTTTCTGGCACCAATTTACAGGAGGTGCACGAACTTGGAGAAATCCTCCCACTTCCAGAACCAAATCGACCCATTTCAAGCCCTGCAGAAATTTTCCCGGCAAAAATGAAACAACCTGCTGGAATTAGAAACCTTCTCACCCACCCTTATAAATTCCGCTCATCTACCCAACTTAAATGCCGCCTGCCCCCCGAGTTTACCCAGAACAACATAAAAGAACTCAAACCGAAACAGAAAAAGGTTCAGTGAGAATGTACCTGAGAATTTTTGGCAAATTGGTCCTCTGAAAGCTCAGACTTTAAAATGGAAAAATGCCGCCAAGCACCGTGACCTAACACCAACTACTTGATTTGTTTAATGGTGAGGGTGATGATAATTCGATTATGGAAAGAAAAGGGTATTCGCTTGATGACATGGGATCAAAGAGGAAGACAACAAAAACAGAGAAGGAAGTGTCGGCAAAGAGAGAAAAGTGAAGAGGGAAATTGTAAGTGGTAAATAGGGATCGAACTTCCAACTTGTTTTTCTTCTTCACAGATTTTCCCTTTTAGGGAAACTTTTTCGAAGGTTTGATTTTCTGTTGATGGTAATGTGAGGCGGTTAAGAGGGAGAGGATTTTTGCGGGAAACCCATGATACTCGGTCGTCATAATCGGGAACTAAGAAAACGGGGTTGAAAGGAAATGGAAAGATGAATGACTGTTATTTTCACCGGCTATTTCGCAGTTTTTTCTTTTAGTTTCAAACAGCTTTGACCCTCCTCTTCCCTCATTTTCTCTAATGAGCACAAATGAACGCCCAAATTTTAGTAATATCTATTTGAATCGATGAACTATGAGCAAAGTTTTTCACGGGGATAATTGAGCACAATAAAGTTTCTAGTACAAACTGGTAGATATTGACCAAAGTGTTAATGTAGTTAACTCGAGTGTTTGTTCCACATTTTCACAGTTTATTAGTCATGTCATTTTTTATATTTATTTTTTTGGTTAAATGTGTTTTTCTTTAATTGTTTGTACAAAATTAAACTGATATAGTTGTTCAAACAGAAGTACAAATCGAAATGAATATACTATTACATTCATTATTAACACTTCTACATATAATAACAAAAAACATGTTCAGTGCGAATAATGTTCATTAGATGCGTAATATTTGACCATCTCTTTTTCACATCACAATGGAAGTGAAGGGGGAAAACTTGCATGGCCCTATAATTTCTAAAATGTTAAACTTGATTAGTTGAAAGTGTGGATGACAAACCATCAACAACTCCACTAATCAAAGTCTTGAAAAATGATAAAAAGAAATTTTTAATGGTCTTGCAAAATGAGAATTAATAAGCATTATCGTATAGTTCACCTAGAGAGAAGGACAAAAGCAAGCAAATTTTTTGCTTTGATATGTAGGGACTAGGGAATATGAATTTTAACCGTTTTCCTAATGCATACTTTAACTTCATAAGCTGAAACTTCTTTTCTTCTTCTACGCAATCATAAATAAGAGCACTTCTACTATGATATATAACATTGGTGTTTTAATGTACAACTTGAAGTTGTACCATAACATTAAATGTATAAGTTTAGGTTGTACCATAAGGAATTTGTATCATTATGTTATGATACAACTTTACAACTTGAAGTTGTACCATCACATAAGGTACAAATTTAAGTTGTACCATAAAAGAATTTGTATAGAAAGTATAGGTACAATCTGAAGTTGTACCATAACGTTAAAGGTACAATT